AGAGCAGGGATTGCAAGTCCCAACAGGATTTCCAACAGCATCATCCGGAAATCTCACATGCATGAAAGATTCTAGTCACCAGGTACCACCTACAGCCATCTTTCAAAAGTGGGGACTTTTGCCTAAGCCTGTAGGTAAACTCTTTTAACTTCTAGTCCTTCAAGTGTATGAATCTAAGAATTGTGTAGTGCCTACTTGTCATTTATTTGCTTGTTTGTATTTTGGGTGAATTCTGCTTTTTCATTGATTTATATCTGGCTTCATTCCTCTCTTTTCTCTGGCATCACCTTGACCTAGTTTTCAGTGTTAAAAACACATCTTTATTCACAGTTGTATAAACATACCCAGATACTAATAAACACACTTAGAGATTTTCCATTCCATACATTTTTAAAAAAATGTATTGTACTGTATACATTTCTTTGTCCTTTGTAATATCACTTAACAATACACCATGAAGATCAGCCTTGGATAATGAATATAGTTTTATTTCAATATTTTTGATAGATGTATTATATTGCCTGGTTAGATGTACCTCGACATACTCAACAACAACTCTAACGATGTTCACGGAGGTTACTTCCACTGCAAATACTGCTACTAAAAGGGGTGTGGCTCCAAAGTCCTCACACATACTCCACTGTTGAGTGTGTGTTCCTACAGGGATGCTTCCTACCAGAAGTATCCTTGGGTCAATCATACATGTTTTCATTAAAATACATGTTGTGCAATTGTTTTCCAAAATTATACACATATATATATATATATACATGTGCTTGTTCTCACTAAAAATCAACAAAAATATCCTTTTCTCCCTAGGGTTTTAGTACTATTTCTTAACTTTTGGAAAACAGTTGGATGAAAAAAAGTTGAAATTATATTGGCACATCAACTTGAATTTTCCTGATGACTAGCAAAATTATGCAGCTTTTCACAGGTTTATTGGCCATTGACTTTTCTATAAGTTACCTGCTCATGCCTTTTGTCCAATTTCCTCTACTGAGACATTAATTTTTATAAATATGAGTTCTTATATATTATGGATGTTGAGCCTCTGCCATATTTTTCTTGGCATAGAATTTATCACTTACCTACCTTGTGTCTTATAAGTAAGTGTAACCTTCTACACGTTTGTCTTTTCTTCCACAGCTTTTAAGATCACAATCTGACTTAAAATACATTCTCTTCCCCTACTTTAAGCTAAATAATATTATTTTACATTTTCTTCTAAGACTTCTTGTCCTTTTATATACACTTTAATATCTACCGTATTTTTAAATGTGGACTTTTTCTATACAATGTGAATAGGGGGTACAAATTCCTTTCCTTCTGGATGGGTAATAATAATTTACCAGTGCTGTCCTTTAACTGCTGAATTGAAATACCCCTTCTGTCACATACTTAATTAGCTTTGGTCTGTCCCACCAATCTCTTTATCTTTTCTCATGCCTAAATCATAATATTTTGATAACCATAAATGATTAAAGGTTTTTAATACACACTAAATGTAGTCTTCCCACCCTCTTCTACATAGTTTTCTTGCATGTGTAAATACATTTATGTTCCCAAACAGCATTTCTTTTTAGCTTGCGTTTCTGTTAGGCTGAAAGCAAAGCACCTGCATATCAAAATCTTACTTGCTACTTGGGAAGATACATTGTGTTTATAGAGAAGGGTATAAAAGCTAGGGATTTAGAAGGGGGAGCTCATCAAGAACATTTTTAGGCTAACCACCTATTTTGCAAAATTTTGCATCTTAGCTCCAAATATAATCTTTAGTCTTCGCACTTACTAAACAACTTGGAGAACATATATCTTCTCAGAACACAAATGCAAGAGTAGATTATAGTCCATGCAGCACAGAAAATAGATTAGTAGTATCGGATTCAGTCAGATGGAGGCAGAGCAGGATGGACGTCCATCAAGTTACTCAGAGTAGGTAAGTTTGGGTAACTGATGAGTAAGTCAGTGTGGCTTAAATTCTGCCACGAGCTCAGAAAGCACTTTGTCAGTCACTCAATCTTGGCTTTGCTTCTTCACTTGCAAAACAAGATGGTGTTATCTGGTAGTTTTCACATGGATTCATAATATAGCATTATTGGAGCTCCAGAAGTGCAATCAGTTAGCACGTGGTACTTATATGTAACATAGCATTATAATTAAAAGCACAGATTCCAACATCATGCAGAACTAGATGCTCATCCCAGCTTGGCCAGTCTTTGAGTCCATCTGGCATTTTTATTTATTCTCTTAGTTTCCTTATCCTTAAATTTTAGAGGAAAATATATCTCTCAGGAGGCTGGGTGAATTAGATGAACTAATGCATAAAAAATAGTGTTTGAAAAGTACAAAACACACAATCAATTTTCTATCATAGCTGCTTTGGGGGTTTAGAGAACCTGCCCCCAAGTACTACTCTCCTGTTGGTCAAGGAAAGAACTGTAGAGCCTTTGTTCACAACTGGGATTCATACCCCCAAAGAGCCTCAAAGCTCTGGAGAATCAGCAATATCAATTTTAGCTCTAACGTGTCTCCATTGTTTCTTGGTTATCACCCATGATAAGGCCCAAGATGGTAATCTGACTTCTCTTAAAGAATCACTATAATATCACCATAATTCACCAAAGATGGCAACTTGGGGGGGCCTGAGATATTAAATTCACTTCTACAGTCTTAGATTTGTGCTCTGTAACTTAATGAGAGGCAGAAATATCACATGCTCTAAAAAAATAAAGACTACTACAATAACAACCAGCATGTACAGTATATAGCACTTAATGCCACACCTCTATTCGGTAACAGAAAAGAGTCTTGAACCAAGTAATAAAGCTCCAGAACCTTCACCTCTGCATTACTCTGTCTCTGCCATGGCTTTTCCTTGGAATCAACCATTTGCTTTACTTCTGTCTGATCCAGAAACTTCATCCCCTGCATCTGACTATTCCATCCCTCTGTGCAAGCTGCAGCCACTATCCCAGCAGTACTGCTTTCCCTGCACATCTGTGACATTCTGACCCCTTTTGCAGTGTAGTAAGGAACAATCATGCCCCTTGGGTCAGGCACTGTTTAAGTGTGTACTGCACTCTTCATTTATTCTCACAGTATCCCTATGAAATAAGCAACGCTAGTATTACCATATTTCAGCTAAGAGACTAAGAACATATTAACTAAGTGTGGGTACATCACTAATATGGACAAAGAAAGTTTCAAGCCTAGGTAAGCCTGATTTCAAACACTCAGTTTGAAGCCGCCGTACCACATTCTCCCGGTGGGTGACCCTATAGTGTGCTCGGTTCACCGTCTGTAGTCAGTATGGCACAGAGAGAATTACATCGCTTCTCCCCAGCTTCTGTATCCAAGGGAGCAACACTGCAGCTGCATCTGCCTCTCAAGGAAGGAAATTTGGATTCTTCCAGGACTCCCCCTGCCAATCTGCTGTGAAATACATAATGTTCCTTCTTCCCATTCCTCTCACACACTCAAGCTTTGGTCCCAGAGCTGTACATGTCCACTCTGGATGGCCAAAAGCTTTGGTAGGTTTCCTGATGGTTGTGCCATGTGACTAGTACGGTATGGATAGGGTTTGAGCGTGTCTCCCAAAGGTTCTTGTACAGGAAGCTTGATCACTATCAGCAGTATTGACTGGTCTCAGAAACTTTAAGAGGTAGAGATTATGCAGAACATGGGAGTGCCCTCGTGGATGGATTCATGCTGTCTCGAGGAAGTCCTGACTCACAAGAGACTAAGTCTCCTGAGAAAGAGTGGGTTGTTATAAAATAAAGAACGACACTGGCCCTACCCCTGGTTCCTAACTCACCATGTAATCTCTTCTACTCATGCACTCACCACTATGCTGCCATCAGCCATGGGGCCTATGCATTCAATGGTTTTACACTGGCAACTTAACAAAATGAAATTCATGCACATGAAAATACATCTTCTCACCTGTATAAGTTCAACTGCTCCTACAAATTCAGTAATTTGAGCTATGAGAATAATATTAATCGAAACTGAAACTTTGACTTTGTTTCCTACTACCTTAGGCTTTAAAAAAAGCTTTCTACTGCACTGAAAGATAGCCACATAATTTACACCTAGTGATGGTCACAGGGGACATGCTTGTCTTTCTATGAGTTTCTTTTTTTTTTTTTTTTTTGGTTTTTCTCTGGTACCAGGAACTGAACTCACGACCTTGCGCTTGCCAGGCAGGCGCTTTGCCGCTGAGCTAAATCCCCAGCCCCTCTATGAGTTTCAATATCATATCAGGAGCAGGCTCAATAATGTCTAGATCTTTCTATTATTTTTGCATATTTATTAAGGCTAAAGACAGATGCTGGGGAGTCATACTTAACAAAATAATGACTTATGTAATCAGAATAAGCAATAACCAAAACAATAAACATACTGGATTTTTCTTTGCTTACGCATTTTAAAAACGATATTGTGTTTGAATTTCTTGTTTGAATTTTCAAGTGTTACATTTCATGAAGCTAAGATAAATACTTCTTTGATGGAAGCCAGTCTGCATTCTTGTTCTAATTCTTAAATTTTCCTTATAGAACTTCTAAATGGTAGGGTTCTACCTTAGGCTTGACTGCTTCTAGTGATGAAAAATTTATGAATTCATAAATTGCTATAATTTTAATAAGCTAATATTTATCCCCTTGTTCCCTTTTCCCAAGGCTAAAATACATATGTATTTTCTTTTCCACATGAAATTTTACATAGGGCTGGGGATTTAGCTCAGCGGCAAAGCGCCTGCCTGGCAAGCGCAAGGTAGTGAGTTCCATTCCTGGTACCAGAAGAAAAACAAAACAAAACAAAAATCTTACATAAATGCTACCAAAATGCAGCGTGTATAGGTTACTGTTGAAAGAAATTCAATGCATCTGTTTAAAAGTATTTGATAGTAACATCTTAGGAGACTGGAATATGAGGCCATTAGGCTACAAAGATTCACAAAAGTTCACTAAATGCACAAGGACACACATAAATATTACCTGTCTCAAGGTGTGGCTCCTCCAGCTTGTGTCGGTCTGTGATGAATACAGATGAAAACTCTAATCTCTTCTGAGTATCTGGCTTTTTCTTTCTGTTTTTAATCTTTATTTTTCCTGAGTCCTTCTCTTTCTCCATGGTATTTTCTTTCTCTTTCTTCCTCCACTCACTCATCACTCTTTAGGCAGCTAAGTTTTAAAGTTAAATTTTTATTTTAGTTTATTGTACTTAAGGAATAAATTTCACAGTCTGACCTTAGTGCAAAATATAAAAGAATGTTTTTGTATTTGTCCACAACTGCACGAAGAAACACTGGAGATATATCTCTGAAATAAGTTAAAAACCTCACTGGACATGGTGGGATTGAGATTGAGTAAATGTGAAAAGAATTGTTGTGAGAGCTTTCAATGAATTCGTTATATTTAACTACTAAACTTGTAAATGTACTATGCATTTAAAAAAATAAACAAAAATATTTAATTATATCTTTACCAAAAGACCATGCTGAATTTTTCATCTCTGGATAATGAGACACCTGCCAGAAAAATCCCCAGTTCTAAGACAAATTCAGATTTTATGTTACATGTAAGTTTTGGCCTTAAAGTTGAAACAGAAGAGTAATCTATTACCTCCCTGATACTAAAATTGTTCTTTCTTATGTTACGTTTCCTAGAATATTTGTCTGAGCAAAAAAAACTAAAGCCATTTAAATACTTCAGCATTACCTAGAAAGTAATCAGATACTGCCAACTACAATTTGATTAAATTCTATGTAATGGTTACTTTTATGTGTTGGTTTATCAGGGTCATAAGGGCCAGATACTTGGTTCAACATCGTTCTGGATATGTTTGTGAGGGCATTTCTGGATAAGATTAACATGTAAATTGGTGGACCTTTGGCACACAGATTGCCATCCATTATGCAGGTGGGCCTCACCTAATCAATGGAATACTTGAAAAAAAAAATCAAATGAATGCCTTCCCTTGTGCAAAAGAGAATTCTGCCAGAAGATAGCATTTATACTTGAACTGCTACTTCAGCCATGAGATCTTTCTGGTTCTAAAGGCTGACTGCCTTCCTCATTGATTTGTCAGGGTTCTACAATCCTGTAAGCCTAATTTCCTCTCTCCTTCTCTCTCTCTCTCTCTCTCTCTCTCTCTCTCTCTCTCTCTCTCTCTCTCTCTCTCACACACACACACACACACACACACACATGCACACATTTATATCCTATTGGCTCTGTTAATACATCATGCAATTAGATGTACTCATTCAACACACTATGATCCTCCACCATACATGTGCCAGGTACTGTGCTGATGGCTAATGAAGCACACGAAGATGACTAAGACAGAGTCCCTGCCACAGGAAACCAACGAGTCATCAAGGAGAGAGGGGAGTAAGGCAGCAAAGTGAACTGTTACAGGTCATACCCTATGAGCAAGAGGGACTCCAAGAAAGAGCGGTCAGCCCGGGGGGTGGGGAGTGATGGAGCTTCCCGGAGAAAAGGACAGCTGAGCAGATCTTCACTTGCTCAGTGGTCTGCGGTGTCTGCAGCTTTTGCCTGGTGACCTCGACTCACCTGGCCCAAGTTATCCCTCTGGCCTGATAGCCACAAAAGGACCAAGATAAGATAATGATGGGACCCATCTGCTGGGCATGGAGGTAATCAGACACGAGCTTCCTATAAGTTCGAAATAGGAGTAAACTAAATAAAGCACTATCGTTTTTTCTATTCTTCTGATCTTTCCAAATTAGTAAATCTGATAATTACCATCTCCTTATATTTATAGAAATCCTGCTCATAGCCTATCAATGAAATATTTTTCAAATTTACATTATATATATATATAAAATATATATATGTAAAATATATATATTTAGGTACAGGGAATCGAAATCAGGACCTTGCACTTGCCAGGCAGGCGCTTGTGCTGCTGAGCTAGATCCCTGGCCATATATATATTTAAATTATCACTAAGAAGATTCATTAATTTTTTAACAAAATAAATGGCATACTTATTCATATATATCACTCATCATATATATTTAAATTATTGCTAAGAACATTCATTAATTTTTAAATGAAATAAATGCTGTACTTAATCATTAATAAATAAACTAATTTATTTATTAAAGTTTTAATATGAAAGAAAAGAAACTGTCTACCACTTTCACTTTGCCATAGTGCTCTTATAAATCTACATGCCACACAGCATGTAAAATATACATGATCATATACTGGTTACTAGTTAATATATTTATATTTTATAAGAAATACACGTGATCTATATCTTTACAACTCTTGAAAAAAGACAATTTTACCTTAAAAAAAATCCATCTTCAGTCCTCAAGACCAAAATATTTCCTCAATTCAATATCAGATTCATTAAGGGAGAACAGGGATGTGAAGGAAAGTAAGAAAATGGAAACATCTAAATGAATGTCATTAAAACTGAGGTTTTTCAATCAACAAAACACCAAGGTTTGGCAAAGAGAAAGCAGAGGCCGTTTAACAGCAGGTTTTGATGCTGACTTTACAGGATGTAAATTCTGCCCAGCGCATAAAGAAAATGAGAATAAGCAGCCCTCTGAGAGTCCTAGACTAAGCAGGACCAGGAGAAAGCATAGCACCCACAACCAAGGCTTCTAGAGAAGTATGAAATAAATCAGAGATGAAAGAAAATATGTCTTCCAGCCATCTGGTTCCTGGCTCCAGACAGAGACAACTCCACATACCCTAAAAGGCCTGGCCCCAGGCAGGATGAGCGGTCCTCGGCCCCTTCAAACACAAGCATCCTCATCCAACCTGGCCTCCCATCCAGTGAGAACACACAGTACTCTAGCGTTGTTTTCCTGGTACACACAACCTGGCTGAGGAGTTCGAACTCTGCAACAGAAGGCACTGGAAAAGCACTCTCTTACTGCAGGTAGACATGTGCTGTTGTTATCATGGCAACTTCCCTTTTCTAGTAATAAGAAGTGGGGTGAGGAGTGTGTGTGTGTGTGTGTATGTGTGTGTGTGTGTGTATACACTTGCACATGTATATAATGGTTTATCTTTCCTCAAAACTAGTTATTTTTTCTAAATCACCAGAATGGAATCATACTTATAACGCTGTAAACAAACAAAAATCTTTTACCTTTCAAACTTCCATCCCAAATGATAACACTGAATGTATACACTGTGTTCAGATTTGTGATTTTTTGACCATGAAGATACTGTGGGACTCTTCCTTCATTGTCACTCCACCGAGTTCATTACCGTTTAAGCTTCAAGACAGTATTATTCACTTTTTAAAATGAATGGGGACATCTTCCTCAGCCTGGGCGTTTGCTGCTGCTGCCCGCTCTGGGCCGAAGGCCCCATGAAGGCAGGGCTGGGCCACAGCTGCAAGTCTGACACTGACAATGGTGCCCAGAGGAAACAGCCACCTCCTCATTCGTGCAATAGCTGTGTTACCCCGCTCCACACTCATAAGCCCTCGAAGTAGCATTTTATCTCCATTTTACAAACAAAGAAACGTGCTCAAAGCAGTTAGCTTCCTTGTACACGATCACACTGTTAATCAAGGGGTGATTGACAAAGGTGACGTATGTCGACATTTACCCAAAATGTCACCCTCCAAGCGAGATGAGGATCCTTACATTACTCAATGCAGTGCAATGTAATAATTTCTTCATGGCAATAATATGAGCGGAGAGCTTCACCTTGGGTAGCACTGTGGCCCTTGTGAACTGTGAGCACCCTTGGGAAAGCAGGAGGTGGCCCTCGGTGGCCCTCGTTCTCGCTGTCCCTCTAAATCAGCATAGTTTCCTCGTACTTACCACCATCTCCCTGTAAGGCTTTCCCAGGATGAAGCACAATCCCAGATACGAGCAAGATGTCTGCTGAGGACTTTTATGATGCCTTTCAAATATCTCAGACTACTTGGGAAGAAATTAAGCAGACACTGAGGAAAAGGATCACAGGAAAGAAAAAGAGCAGTGACAAGAAGGAAAAATGGTATAGGGCCAGTGCACACAGAACGGCCAAATAGCTAAAGACCATTATCTGCCAGGAGATTTGCATGGCTCAGCGGAGCTTTCCCGATGTTGATCAGCGAGGTGAAAACTAGCCCTCGGAGGAAAGATGAAGTGGATTATTGTACGTAAGGAAGAAAAGGCAGAGAAGTGGCGCAATCGTCTTCAGGTATCCAAGGAGATAACATATTCTTCATTTCCACAGGCAGCAGAAACGAAAGAGAAAGAGGGAAAACAAATGTATCCTGAAGCAGGAGGCATTCAGAGTGCCAATAAGGAAGCCTAATTTCATCAGTACCCCGGTGATTCTCAACCTGTTTGGGCTTGTCCTTCCTTGTTTTTGTTTGTTTTTATGGCAGAGTTTTGAAAATCACCCAAGGGGAAAAAAGACTGGGTGACATATGTACACACACATTAAAATTAATGTGAATGGAATTGAATTTTGTTGATGGTGACCCAGCCAGATTTTAATGCCAGACTCAGGCTGATGGGAGGGGCGGGCTTTACAGGGAAGAATATTTGAGATAAGGATGTCTCAACACGTTCTTGTGCCTAAGTTACCACACTCATCGTGGGCCTTTTAGCCAGTCACCACCTCACCCGGATGGGAATAGCTGCCCAGCTTCTACTCACGTGGAGCCCTGATATCTGCCATTCTAGCAAAGAAAAACCCCACACGCAGTAGATATCCTGTGGAAGCCAATTTCCGGCTGCTTCTGTGTGACTGGGAAGTAAGGTATTCAGGAAAGGGCCCAGACCAGGATTAGGCAGCCCTGGGTTCACATCCCTGCTCTTCCTCTTGGCTGTATGATTTTGACCAAATATGCTACCTTGGGTGTGTAAAGGACACAGGTGTCAGTTGACATCCCTTGCTCCTCCCTGACATGGGGTCACCATGGTATAGCGACTGCCACAAACAAACAGCAGGGTCTTTCTTTTCCCTTGAAAATGGATATAAAACACCCGGGTCCTGATTTGCCAAGCAAAGAGTGAAACAAATCAGATTCTCTTCCAAAACACAGTGCTTTATGAAAACTGTACATGATCAGAAGGTTATTAATTAAAAACACTTTTCATGTTGAAGCTGGGGACTGCCTGGCACCACAAAGGACTCATCTCCCTCTGTAGGAGGAAGACAACTTCACACAGGCCCTACGTCAGCCATCTTGGCTGTCGGAGGTCCTGGGGAGGAAAGCAGACCAGGAGTTCATTTCAACCTAACTCAGGTGCATTTAGAAGGGTGCCCACCACCAGCCTCACAGCCAAGCCTGAGCACACAAGCATGTGGCTTTGCACACAAAGGCAAGGAGCTTGGTCACAGAGACAGGCACTTCCATTATGTGTGTTCCAGACATAAATCTCGGCAATGATTAATGGCCTAAGCATTTCCCTCACTGGTTCTTTATAAATGATTCTTTTTCATCCACATGGCTCTGCCTAAGTCAGTTTCCTGGTCCTTCACACCAGCATTCCAGAGTCCTTGTGAGGATGACAAGGAACCTAGACACTCACTAAGTGCTGTCAACCCTGAACACACCGATGGCTTAATCAAGTGTGGGTTCCACATACTTTTTGAGCATGAGACCCGCTTATAAATGTCAACAACCCGCAAGGACCACCTCCAGCAGAGGAGTCACACTTGCACTGTCTGATGATTAAGACTAAATAGGACAGAGACATAATACATTTACATAATCCCAAAGCATCTACATATAGGTTATAAACTGGGGGAGGGATGATCCTATCTGCATTCTGCCCATGCACAATACCTGGTAAGCCTATGGGGTTTCACGTTTCTTTTTTTTTTGTTGTTTTTTTTTTTTTTTGGTTTTTCTCCGGTACCGGGAACCGAACTGGTTTCACGTTTCTTTGCAGTCATTGCAAGTCTTCCTAGGGGTCTGCCTCCCCACTGGCTGGCAACTGTTAATATAAAGTATATATTACCGTGGGTATGCTGCCTGCTCTGTGCATTTAAATCATGAATACAGTGTGAAATTAGTAGAAATGAAGTCACCCAAAATGATATGGTCTGAGTCATTGTGACCCACCTTGAAGAGACCAGGCCTCTTAACAGCAGTGGTCAGGGAATGTAATGCAGCCTCTTGTGCACTGTGCAATGCGGGTAACACAATCCGCTTCATCAGTGGGCACAGTGAGCTTTTATATAAAAAATTAAATACGTTGAGCTATCAGTGGATCCTCAGTCATGTTAACCTGACATGAACTCAGCATTTCAACTTGGTTTCAGTTGGGCTCATAGCATTCGTGTTTCTAGGCGGTCTAATTTGGTTTAGATGTTTATTTTTAATGTGATCCCAAAGAGCACTGTGGGATGAACATATTTCCCCAAAGGAAACAAATAATGTTAATTCCAAGGGACTTTCACACTGCTGCAAAGCAGACTCTACAGTACAGGAGATGATAAAGGAAGCTGAAAAGTGATGTTCTTTTTCTCTGCCACTCGGTGAAAAATCACTGTTGAGTTGGCTTCCAACTGCCTTCCAGGCTCATGCAGCCGTGGTGTGGGGCCCACAGGCTCTCCTCTGCTTTCTCCAGCGTACCTGGCCTGGCTGTCTGCCCCTGACCCCGCTGCTGTTTCCCTCCCTCGTACTCAATGATCACTCCAACGCCTGGGCATGTGCACATGCTCCTGGGTTTATGTGGAATGCTTTTCCTACAGTCATTTCACCTGTTAATTCCCACTCACCTTGAGAACTCACTCACAAGACTACGTTCTCAGAGAGTCTTTGTCAGAAATCCCTGCTTCCTCCCTCCCTCTTACTGCTTCTCCCGGCACCTTTCTGTCTCTCACCTTGCATTTCTCACAGTTTCTGCTTTACATTTGCTCGGTTGTCTTATTAACACAAATCTGCCTCGCTGAACTGTAAGTTCCACGAGGGCAGAATATGCGTAGTCGTGTGTCAGTGTTACTCTAGCACCTGAGCTTTGCTCGGCGCAGAAGGAGTCTCAGTAACAAAAGGAGCCTCGTTCACTTGCTGAATGAATGAATGAATGAATGAATGAATGAATGAATGAAACATGCATTATAATTGTCTGTATTTAATACAGATAAAAGAAAAAGGAACACATGAGGCACATTGAGGGGCATGGTGTCATCAGAGGAATTTTGGAAGAGGGGGACACAGACCTCCTGAGATATCCTGGTGTAGCTAGAGGTAGCATGATATGAAGAAGAGATTGGATCTTAGAGCAGGAAATTTAATGACTCAAGCATGCTTTAGCTGTGTGACTTTAAGCAAATTACTTCACCTCTCTGAACCTCAGTTTCCTCATCTGCCTACTAATAAAGAGAATGTCCACCTCAAAGATGGTGGTGAAGTAAAACTAAGATATAGATGAAATAAAAATTTGTCTTCTCACTCATTATCTTCCTATATTTTGTTCTGCAAAAGACAAAGTGTGAAAGGCACTCACCTAGCCAGTCAGTGTTTAAGGCCACCCTTCTAACCCACTCCATTTTTCCTTGCAGCAGAACGGGCAGGTCTGCAGTGGAGAGGGACGTGGGATGAGACTTGTAGAAAAATAAACGTGCTTTGGCTGTCAGGGGTCACATGCCGGGCTCCTTCCTTACCTTCAAGACACTTTGGAGCAAGTGGTCACCACTTGTCATTTCATTTGTGAACCTTTGTGGATTTCAACAGCCTGTCTCCATTTATCCCCTTGTCTCCCTCTTTCCAAGTTAGGGTATCATTTTGTAAGAAGCTTCAAAATAGCTTTGGAGTCAACTTTAAAATAGCATCCAGTGATTCCATTTATTTTAAGTACAAAGACTAATCCAGGCTGTTAGAATCAAGGGCTATGGTGGCTGGGCAGAGGAGGGGGGTCCTCCCCAGTGAGCTGGGTGCCGGTGACCTGGATGTGCTTGCCTTGTGGAAACTCATCAAGCTTTACCCTGTAGATATGTGCACTTTTCTGGGTGTGTTACGGTTCATTCCACCTCTGTGGAAGGTGTGTTGAGATTTGAAATTACTCTGATTCTCTGTTCAGACAGCTGTAATTTAACCAGTAGGAACCAAAGTCACCTTGTGCTACTCTCTCTCCTTCCGTTACTGCTTTGTCTTCCTGTTCCATTCGCCACCACTGCAGCAGCACATGTGCACACACACACACACACACACACACCATCTACATGCAGCAGCCAGAAGATGGCTCTGAAATAGCCACTTACCCTCTCTTAGGGCCTGAATGTCTGCGTCCCCCTCTCCCAAAGTCCTCTGTTGACACCATGCCCCTCAATGTGCTGGTATCTGGAGGTGGAGACCTGGGATGTAATTAGGCTTAGTTGAAGTCTTAGAGTGGCGCTCCCAAGATGGGGTTGTGCTGTTATAAGAAAAGATAGAAAAAATGAGCTTGCTCCCTCTCTCTGCCTTGTGAGGACCAAAGAGAAGGTGCTGAGTACAAGCGGAAAAACTCAGAACCTGACCGGGCTGGCACCCTGGTCTCACACTCCCAGCCTCCATAACTATGAGAAATAAACTTCTGTTCCCACACAACCACCCTAGGTACAAAAAGACACTTCCTTTCCCTGAAACCTGAATGGCTTTCCATTTTTCTTAAAAACTAAATTCAAGCCCTTTGTCACACAGATTCTTTCCCAACAGATTCTTCCAGATGTGGCTCTGGCCTCCTTCTCCAGCATCATCTCAGGGCACCACCATCCGTCCCCTTGTCCCTAACCCGCACCTTCCCCATTGCTCATGGGCTCTGGAACCTGGTCTTGTCCTCTGCACGGACCTGGGACCTCCACACAAATCGCCACTTCCCATCATTCCTGAAACAACACGAAATGTACCTCCTCCACCTACTGCTATGGTATTATCCATTTATGTTCTGACTGTCATATATTCTTTCTTGCTAGATGTGGGGGCCCTAAGTATCTTAGCTTCTGTCCCACACCCCAGTGGCACATAATAGGTACACAGTTGGTATTTACTGCATGAGGCAGGAATGGAATAAACATCAAGCCCTGTTTTATTCTTGCCTCTGCTTTTTCTCTGCAATCAAGTCCCTACCCCGTGCCCAGTCCTTATCAGATGCTTCCCTCCCAGGGCTCTGCCCTAATAATTTACCCTATCCCTATCCTCCCAGGCTAGTCCTGCTTCACTCTGCCAGACCATGAGGGAATTCCACCCTGCTCCACCCCAGGCAGCCTCCCGTCTGCTGCGGGTCCTGCAGGGAGCTAATTCAACCTGATTGGGCTCACCACCCACCTTGGCTTCCTGTGCTTCACCCCACCCACCCCAGCCTTGCACTTTTCCAACACCCACCAGCTGCCTGGGCTTCTACATGCCACCTGCCTCCACGCTCCCCACAGCGGCCCCGCCCGCCTGCCT